TTTGTAATTGCTAAAAAATGTAAAAAATATGTTAATATCTTAAAAGTTATACTGTAGTGAGATTAAGTTTAGATATCAGAATTAATTTGTTTAATTTAGTGATTGTAAAAAGAGTGACGATTAATAATTGCATGTGTGTAAGTAAATGTACTGTAATTAGTGTAAGGTGTAAGTACTTGTGTTGTAGTCAATGTTTCTATTGTAAGTATTGTAAGATTTTTGTGTTGTAATAACAATAAAAAATGTTCTTTATTTAAAAAAAAAAAAAAAAATTAATTCCAACTTAACATATATTTTTTTGGTCACCAGGAAGTCTGTTTTCCCAGCATATAAATAACAAAATATTACGTACTGATTCAATGGGTTTTTGACAATTCGAGACAAGCAGTTTTTATATCATTTTCCTTGATTGTTTTCAAAACTTACCACTTGATTTGGCTTCATCATTCCCAAATTCTTGAGAATGCATTGCCTAGAAAATAAGGTTTCACATTAGATAAGCACAAGAATAAACATGCCTAAATTATGCACTTATCACAAATGTGCCATAATTTATATTGCATACTAAAACAGAGACTGCAAGCACAGACAGAACAAGAATGAATAAGGTCATCATTTGTTTTGCTGTCATGATTTCTTCTACCCCTCTTTCAACAAGTGTCCCCTGTCAAGAACCTTTCCCCCCTTCAAATCCCTTTCCTGGAGCAGTGAGTAACCTGATGGAAATAATGTCTGAAAGTAGTCAAGAATGGAAAACTGAAGCTATTTATTCACCTTTTATACAGGCCATCCATACTTTCAGTCAAATTATACTTGTGCATACTGAAGGAAAGAGATTTTGCTTTGTATATTTTTTGTGTCAACAATTCTCTGCATGTATACATATTCATGAGTTTTCCTTGCCCAAGGGTGGAGAATTTTGATACAATACTTATTATCAATTGTGTTGTCCCAGGGGTGGAGATTTTGAGCGAAATGCCCACCTCTTGCTCCCCGCCCTCCTCCCCACTGTCATTATAAGCTGGTGTCAAGCATAATTTGAATACCCTGTGTCCATTCCCCAAGAGACCTTCTAACATCAGTTGGACCCCGCCAGTTCGAACTCAGTTATTTCGACTTTCCCGTTATTTCGAACTCAAAATCATTTCCCTCGGATTTGCCCTTCAGTAATTTCCTATCGGTTATTTCGAACCCTGCTATTTCGACCTACTTTTCGTTTCCCCTCAGGGTATGAAATAGCGGAGTTCAACTGTACTTAAATGTTGGTGTAAGGGTCGTCATTTTGTCCGTTACATGTTATGTGGACTTGAGTAAAGGTCTCAGTATTTTACCGTTCGTCTCGCGTGTTATTTCACCGCCAACAAGCATATTAACACATTTAACAATTAGCGCACAAACAAACACCTTCCCTGTATATCACTTTGCGAAAGTTCGCCCTCGTAAATCTATCCTCGGCTGACATGGCTATAATTTTTAACAAATTAAACCCAAAATATATCTTCCCAATGATCACTCTTCGTTACTAAGAATGTTGGCGCTGTGTGCAGGCATTTAATCCATATTTTTGTTGCTTACTTCCGGGTGAAAAAGTTGTTTACGAACACAAAAATAAGTGCTCTCTTCTGCTCTTCCATAGCGCTTTTTAGACGAAGAATTTTGGGCGCTGCAAAACATTAGAAATGAAAACTGGTGTATATTTAAGGGAAAGGAACCATTATTGACCCATTTACTCAACATTGGTCTCCGAAATAACAATCGAAGGGTATTTTTATATGAAATGAAGTGTTTAATTAATTTCTGGTCGCTAGAAGTTGATTCCTGCGCCGCTCGATCAACCGCGGGACCTACGATTACGAACATCATTCAGATACAGAGCGACTTAGACTCAAGGTTCTCCTCGGAGACCGTTAAAAAGTCATAAAATGAATGCTGAAAGAAAGAGTTTTAACAACAACAGTGTTGTAGCTGTGAACTGTGTTGCGCATTCCGCTACATTCCGTCGGTGTCTGATCATGGTTCATGACATGATTCAGTTCGTGCGCTCAGACAAGGAAAGTACATTACTGACCTGTCGATCCAAAATATATCCTGTCCTTTGGGGTTCTCGCGTTGCACGTCCAAGTAAGGTTACCCACTAGGAATTAAAATCAAGCCAAGGCCTTCGCAATCCTGCAAGCACGAAAATCACTTCCAAAGCATCTTCCTTGACCCGAACTCCTAATATGGAATGGGCGGAAGTCGTACGAATTCTCGATTGCTGAAGCGATCGAAGTGACTCACAACATTGACGTATATTGCTTCTTCAGAAGAGAAGTTGCCGCCAACGTCCGCCTTAGGTCTTGAGACGCTGCAATCCAACAGTTTGACAGTGTTGTAATTCAGAGTTGCATGATAGACTTAACGCGTGCGTAAACCCGCTGCAACGCTGCTGAAACTTTTGATCGTATTTCATTTATCCTACGTATGAAGATGTTGCGAAACATTCCACACATTCCATGACCGCTTCTCTTGGAGGCATATCGTGAACAGTCACGATAGTGAGCGCCTAAGCTTAAGGAAATAAAGAAAAATAAATATAACATTAAATGCAAATAAAACTAGTGCTGGGGAGGATTTGGCATCTTCTACAATTGTTGTTGTCAAATGAAACAGAGTCAACTGGATAATATTTGTCACTGGTATGAATTTCTGCCGAGACTCGTCCCGGAAGAGCCAGAGTCTAAAACGTGTACTGATGCTGCAGCATACCAGAGGAATAGAATCAGGAAATAGAAGCACAGTTTGTACTGTTCATGACTTAAATGACTGGAGATCCATGACATAAAACGCTCGATGAAATTGGTAAGCCAGTGAAAATGGAAGGCGATTCGTTCCCTGTCACACTCCCCCAGTGGGTCGGTCACGCAAGACCGTAACCTCCTACGCATCTTGCGTCTCTTTTGGGTCACGTGTACTAGCAACATGCGTGTCGAGACGTCGATCATTTCCTTTCCCATGTGAAAGAAAATAGAAAACGTCTGAACGTGAGCTAGTATTGGCCCCCTCCCTAATTATTTTGAACAAAAAAATCCCCCCCGGCTAGCCCACAACTCCTATTGGTCCACCTGAGAACAAAGCACCTCTAACATCTCATACTTTTATCTCCAGTTTAATATTGTAAATTTTTTATTTCTTTTTTTTCCTGATATTTTTGTATATTTTTAGTTAATTTAATGAATTTTACGTAACTAAAACTTACGTGTAAATAAACTGAATTGAATTGAATAGGCTTTAGTCGGAGCTTTTCTTGCGTTGTTGTCATCATCCAATGAGAATGTTAATAGTGACTGGATAACCTTAAATCTTTCTCATGGTAATCAGTCAACTTGTTTCTCCTTCCATATACCAACACAGATGAAAAAACAACCACAACAACAACAACACTGTGTGGCTCAAGTAATCCCAGCTCAAACAACAAATTGTGATCTCTAGATTCAACTTAGTTCTGATGATAACAAGTGGTAAATGTACATGATTGGCCTTACAAGGCCATTGATGCAAGTTCCACCCTACATTAAAACCCACCACCTTTCTACACCCAACTTTTTTGCCCAGTGGAAGGGGGGGGGGGGAGAATTCCCAGAAAAATTGGGTAGGGGTGTGTGGCCCAATTCCCAAAACCCTTACCCTATTTATAACCAAAATCTGCAATATTCCCTACCCTATTTATGATCTGACCAAAAATTCAAAACCCTATTTATGACCTGACCCTTAAATCAAAACCGTTTCAGACCTGCGTTATGGTTAGTTCCCTAGTTCGGACCAATGTTAAATTACCGTAAACGTAATTTGTGAAAGGCTTTTGTTGATTTTCTTTTTGATAATGATGGAAAAGTGGCTTCTTCTTACAAACATACCCATATCAAGGCTAGAGTGCAAAAAAACATACACTATTTATGACCAAAATGGCCAAAGTCAGCTAAAATTGATACCCTATTTATGAACAAAACGGCTGAAAAAACCGTACCCTTTGGAATGACACATACCTATACAGCCCATATAAGGGAGTACCTCCCCCCCCCCCCCGTCTTTTTTGGCCCTGGTCATTAATATTTCAACTTCATCAGGACTTCTAGTTATTATCACTTGCAACACCAACATTTTGTTTAATTACAATCCCATACAACCAGATTTTAAGTGCATGGTCGTCAGTATTACAGGGTTCCACTAAGGATTTGTCTTATCAACAAAAACAGACATTTTCTCAACTTTCAACCTGTTCAAGGCAATCAGAGCCATCTTTGGTCTCCATAACCTAAGGTGTCTATTACTGTCTTTTCATCTAAGTGTGGACATTTGATGAAAAAATGTGCTCTAATTTGGTGAAAACATGAACTGCTTGGTAGCCAAACATTTGAAGTGTTACAGTCCCAACATCAAGTAAGCTTTCACGCCAAAGAATGAAAGTATTCAAAGTTGTTGACAAGTTTGCGATTGATACAACATTCTTCTGTGTAAGGATTTGAGAAAAGAGGTCTTGCATTGGAGATTGCATCTTTGCTATGACTGAAAAAAATGGAAGGTTTTGCATTCAGTCTAACTGCATGCCTTTCACAAACTTCAAACCTTTGATGGCAAACATGTTTGAGTTTGCACCCAATGTATTGAAACAAGTTTTTTATCACATGTTCATGCTTAGATGAAAACAATAGAACCACTATCAAAAAATTATTTCAAGACTGAAAAATCTGTTTTTGTTGACTAGCAAAGAAAGAATCTGCTCTATTTTGTTGCTAGACAACATTGCTCCCAAGGGAAACAATTAGAGCAGAGCAGAGCAGCAGTCATCACATGTTTGAATAGTTTGATAGGAAACAGATTCATTGTTACATGCCATGGGACTAAACTAACCACTGAGGTGCAGAGCATGCACTGTTGCGGGGGGGAAATCAGCTACATAGCAAATGCATGTATACCATATATGTATGTCAAACCATTCTTTGTTGGAGTCAGTATAGTTGTTTTTCCAAATTCAATGATAATATTTGGGCACACGTGAAAGCAGACAGCCCAATATCTTACAAGAAACAGTGCCACAATAAAAGTACGAAAGGCATGAAAACTTCCACTTTAATGAGCCAATACACATTGACAATACACTTGAAAACATTGTAATGACTGTTTTTTTTGGTAAAGTGTTTTCACCTAAAATGCTTTAATTGCAATTACCTTTGAAAGAGATACACGTGTCTTATTAAAGCAGTATTGATGCAAAATCAAAGATGAGGGGACATGCAGTACATGTTAAAAAATGGTTCGCAGATCAAGTTAATCGAGGTTGAAATAAACACACAAAAAAGTCAACATAAGTTCTACGAAGTATACATTTCCATGTACAGAGGCAAAGCTGATGACAAAAATTAGTGTTACTTCTGTAATCAAGTGTCTGTGCTTACATAGGTTTGCTACTATAATGAACAACTGGGAGCTGCTTGTGTGCACCTCATTATACACACAAAACATATGTTTGTATCACTGAAGGTTCCAAAATAAACAAGCAGTCCCAAAGAGGGTTAAAGTGGTGAGGTCTATGCCTATTAAGAATATGCAAGCTAAGAACCCAACACCACTTGTCAGTGGTAATGTGTGCTTAGTGAACACAACAATAAACCCCTTTGTGCACCAATTTTAAGGGACGCTTATTATTAAATCACAATAAAATATAACTCAAATAGTTATCCCATTGTCATATATATTTATAAAAACACTGCATAAATGTCTATAGCAAAATATCAACCTAAAAATGTTCTTCAACCATGTTGAAAAGAGAGAACAGTTTAAACAAACACCCAGGATGGATGCTTTCTACTTGCATTGACTGTAAGTTCATGCAGTCACATAATAAAAACCCAGATTGCCTCAGAAACTTCCATTCCATTCCAAACAATGAAGCTCTGAACTACTTCTTATGCTATTGTAACTTGGTGCAAATTAAAGTTACTGGCTGACACAAAAGACACAGACAAAGCAATTTTCTATCAGCCAACACCCATCACTGTCAGGGAAAAAAAACAGCTCAAGGTCCTGTAACATGAACTGTTGAGTACTAATCAAACTTGGTATAATTGGTCCCATACGCCGAGTTAGAAGTGTAATTTCCTGATGCACCAAATGAGGTACTACCACTCTGAGTAGAGGAAGAATACTGATCTTTTCCAGAACCATAGCCACTGTATGCATCCTTTGAAGCATAGGTTTCTCGTGGTGGATAAGAGGTGCTGTATGACTGACTGGAACTGAAGCTTGAGGAATAATCTCCAGGCCTTGCACTGCTACCTCCACTACCATTGTAGCTTCCACGTTCACCTATCTGATTGCGATACTTTGCATTTTGCTCCAAAAGAACTTCATTTGTGGCTTTGAGGTCAGCAACTTGCTTTTGGAGATCAGCAACCCTGCGTCGCAATGATTCATTTTCATCCATGAGGTAATAGAAGTTTTGGCCATCATATGAGTCACGGCGACGTTTGCTAGGATGACCATCAAACCCATAACCTCCAAAATCTCCTTGATCCTCTTCCAACACATGGCGATAACGACAGCCTTGCCCTCGAGAGCATTTCCTGTTTAAGTAATCTTTGCAAATGGGATCACTTGGTCCTGCACGTGTTTGCTCACCTCTAGAAGGCATAGGACCATCACGTCTTGGTGGCATCTGACCAGTGCGTAAAAATATCTTCTCCTCATTGTTGGATAGGTGCAAGTACTTGCAAGTTGAACGGTTACATTTTCCATTTTGGAAATCTCGGCAAATCATTGGACTATTTGTGACCTCAGTACCCATGCCGTCTGGATGATTGAATTTGCACTTTGACCCACGCGAGCAAACACCACGCTGATAATCACGGCAGATTGAGTCGTTGGTCCCTTCTTGGCTTCTTCCAGTAGCGTTATTGTTGGTGTCGTTTTTGTTTTCAGAGCTCTGGGACATTTCTTTTAAAACTGGGTAGTTTCAACAGATTTGAGCCTGATAAACGGAATAGGCGCTTTGCAATCTCTCAAATTCAATGCCTACTGTCAGAGCGCTCACCAGATATATTGAATCACTGCACAGGCTATTGCTGCAATCGCTGCTGCCAAGATGCTGTCTGCAAAACTGTCGCAAGGTTTCTGCGTTCAACTCACTGCTGTTTTGCGCCACGCAAATCAGGCGTACTGGAATGCTGCATAACGGAAGCGCAAAATGCAAATAGTTAGGCAAAACGTTTCTATTGGTGCTAGGACTCTCAATATTGGGCTAAGTAGGCAGATGGCAGCTACGCAAATGAAGTTTCTTAGCATACAACATTTTCAAAAGATAACTCAGTACATATAACAAAATTGTTTCCACTCCAATGATATTTGACCATCTAAATCTTATTTGCAATAAATAGCACTTGGTAGGGTAACAAGTGAATTTTTTATTAAATCTAAAATCTTGAACTCTCTAAGGTGAAATGTAAGCTTAACCTTCAATTAAGTTCCTTTTCAACTACGATTTAGAAACGTCTTTAAGCTTATGACTCGGAGCACACCACGTTGCACTACTTGCTAGCTGAAGTCTTTTACGAAATGTCTTGACTGGCAAAAACCGCATCGCAAATGACGTGAGCTTAATTACTCCAATCTATCTTTTTTTTTTCGTCCCATGCAAAGTATTTCGCAGCGACGGCAGCGAGATTGATAACGTCGAAAGCTCACAAGCAATGATTTGGAGACAGTTTGACTATCAAGAAAAGTTTACCACATTCCGGGTCTACAGTTTACAAAATTCAAAACGACATTTCACACAAACTTTCAGACGTAAAAACCGAAAGAACAGCAGTCCCAAGACACAAACAAGGTGACCGCGTGCTCGTCGATTTGTGCATTTCGAAACGACGCGACACTGAATCCCTGCTAGAAAACTTGTAAAATGTGACTTAACAATGAAATACCGCATACTTTGCCTGTTATCCTATGGCGCCTTTCGCTTAGAAATCCCCGCTCTGCTATTAAAGAGCGAATATTCGCTGCAACTGCTCGAAAGAACAAAATGATTCGCCCTTCGCATTCAAAATGGCGTAAAAACCAAAGTGAGTGACGACACGTGCTCGGGCAACTTTTTACATTTTTCCTTATTTGGCATATCCAGACATTTTCGCGAGGGCTGCTGGGAGTCTGTTGTTGTTGTTCTTTTACGCTAAACTTGTTGTTTTCATTTATATTTAAACTGAATAGAGTTCTCAGCGTCACACAGAACTCTCTCCCTGCTTTTTTATGGATTCTCCTTATATTGGTAATCAGGGGATTTAATTTTGTTTACTCATACTGCATGGAGTTGATATTTCTTGTTTGTTTTTGTGCTGCTCACATGTCAGTTGTTTGCATCGAATTTCAATACAATTTTAGCAAAAGACCATGTATCTTTAGTTAGGGCAAAAAGAGAAGTAGTGAGTGAGAAATAATGTGCTGCTAAAATCCTGAAAAGAAATTCATTGTTTCTTTCTTTATTTCCACCATTTGCTTTTACTTTGATAAAGCCCGTTGATTGGCTGATACAATACAAACGCTTTTAATTCCACGTGATTGTCGCAGCAAAACATGGCGGACGCTGAAGATGGGTTTGAGTCGTCTAGTTGTCATACCATGATCGACCTTGAATCGCTTGGAACCGGAACGCCAAACAGTTCGTGTAGTACACCAGATCTTGAGCTAAGAGGGAACGAGAGCTGTTTGGTTGATAATTCTAAACAAACACCTAAAGGAGACGGATCCCCTGCGATCAATTCATGCGAATCAAGCTTCCCTAACGAAACTAGTGCCGCTTTCTTACATTCCAAAAAGAGAGAATTAGACAATAATGAAGCATCTTCTGCTGGAGCAAACTGTAAAGAGTAAGTATACTGCTCTGCCGTTTTGATGTGGCTCTGATTCGTATCGCAAGCGCTTGCCAATAACATACGATCAAATCCAAGTTATCTGGCAATGGATTGCCTTGTATCGTTGCCGCTTGCGATGCTTACTGAGCTGTTAATTTTTCTTTTAACAGAAAAAGAAGAGGAGGCCTAAAATCTGCCGTTACTAAGGACGAATGTGCCGTGGAATGCAAGTGGATTTCGTGTCATGTAGTATTTCAAAGCGTCGCTGAATTATCAGAACATGTTAGGACTGCTCACGTTGAACCGATGTCCACTCATGATGTTTTTGTCTGTTTGTGGGAAGGCTGTAAAGTGTTTGATAAACCGAGCTTATCACACTCGTGGCTATCAAAACACGTTAATGCACACACAGGTGTTAAACCCTTTAAATGTATGATAAGTGGATGTTCTATGACATTTTCTTCGAGAGAAGGTCTAGCGAGGCATGTACCGTCACATTTTAACGATTCCAAGCCAGCAAAAAGACAGAGATCGGAAAACGATTCCTCGCCCAAGAAAGTAATGAAAAAGAAGAAGAAGAAAATAAGGATTCTTCGGCAGGCCAAACCTCCGGTGCAAGGTTGGTCTGCTGATTGTAATTATCATTTGATCTCTTAAATATTTTACCTTTTTAAAAGGTGTGACAATAATAATTGTCTTGGCGACTGTTTCTACCAAGCTCAAACCAGTATCCTTTCTACATGGATGCGATGCCGAAAGCTACACTGTATGCATACACAGCACGGGTAGAGAATTAACCAGTGCATGACAAAATGAGTGCAGTTGGGCAGATGAAACTATTTCTGAAATGCGACATTCTCAGATTGTTTATCGTGCTAAATCGTAGACAGAACAGCGTTTTTTTTCTGCCGACCGTCGGTTGCCACCGCTAAAACAATTTGTCAATCTCTCGAAAGTGTATTGTCTCTAGTGACGTTCCTAACACCTTTGGTGAAACTGTTTCGTTTATTTACAAGCAATTGCTTATGCATCAACGAAATTTGGAAGACTCCTTTTCCTTGAAGTCTATTGCAAAGAGGAGAAAGACATGATAGATTTAAATGTACCGAACAGAATGGTATCTATCCAAAAATTGTATAATTAAATATTATTGAAAACTGAAAGGATTGTGAGACACGTAAGTACAAGACTACACCATTTGTAGAGGTCAAGGGTTTTGTATTTCAATTTGTTGCTGTTTAGCGGTACATGAAAATTTACAGGAGGTACTGATGCAGTTTAAGTTATCCTTGCATGAAGCATCATTAACCACATACTGTAGTGACTGATACTTTTAGTGACTGCAGTCTGTGATACTTGCTTTTAGAGATTCGGCCAACTTTTCATTTTTTCCAGTTTGGAATGGCAATGATGAGGTTTCAAAACTAGCCAAAAAAACTAAACTAACTAAAAAGCTTTACCACTTTCCCTTGTTATCTAACATTTGGTGTCAGTTGATCAACTTATCACAATAAAGACAAGCACATTTTGTAAGTGGCTCACTTGCAGGCAGTTTTCTATTGAACTTAAACTTTGGATGCTCTGATGCAATGCAGGTGCATTGTAAAAATTAGATAGTCTTTGTATTTACTGCAAGTTGATAGTAATGCTTGCTTTAACTAAAATTGCTTGTTCTTGTTTATTAACTCAAGCGGTGAAAGAAGACTTTATTGACCAGCATGCAGTGAGCAGTATAAAAGAGAAGTTACCGCATGTAATGCCAGTGTCCTGCTATAGACTCGGTATTGATGGCGCAAACATCGTTTTTCAAAGTAAGGTGAGTGTCTTCGTCCTGAGTAGCAAAGCAATTCAAGGTGACTAAAATATCGGAGACAGCGCATACATTTAATAATTAATACAAACAGGTCAGTAATATTATTGTTCATTATGAACAATAATATTACTGACCTGTTTGTATTATATCCATTGCTTGAGTCAAGAATCGAAGGTCAGCTGATGGGAAGTCAGCTCACAGTACAATACAACAGACCTGAGTGTTACTTCTTTTTGTACTGGTGTTTGTGGTCAAAGATGAGTGAGCCAGATAAAGCCAAAAAACATGCGACTCATACATTTCATGAGCTCCATAGAAATATTACAGTTAAAGAACATGACTAATGCTAATTACCAATAAGAAACAATTTGCAGATGTATCAAGATAATGTCATTCAAGCATGATGGTTTAATTCAGTGTACTGATGTGACCAACTGATAACATGCATTGGACTAGTACCTGGCTGGGGTTCTCGTAGATTTGTGTTAGTGGGCAAAGAACTTTACTACTGACTACTTATAAACTATTCTTGGCTACAACATACTGGATGGTGAGAGGGTGGGTGAGATGTGTAATGTCTGCGATGGACTTACTTCTCCTCCAGGTAAGGTAGCAATATTAATGCTGCAGAAACTGGCGCTAAGCTGCAGTCACATGCTTGTTCTCCTTAATCTGTCCTTGTAGTAGAGCTTGAGTACTGTTCACGTTATTTCTCAGTGTTGAATACTTCATAAATTGTTCACTGTATCTGTAGGTTCTTGGAAGAAGGACTGAGGAAGAGTCTGGAGACGTAGATGTACTGTTGAGATGGCTCCCTGAAGACATGTAAGTATACACTCATTAAAATACATAATTACCTCACAAAACCAAAAGCAAACCCTGAAATTGACACACCTCAGTCACCTTTGTTAACCACTCATTCTATTTAGTGGGTTTTTCCTCAAAGTATTAAATCCAAAGATCAATCCTATAATCACTCTCTTCCAACTCCTGTCTATTTTAGTGAATGTTTTGTGGCCTGAGGCGAGAATTGGTACCTTGGCGTTGGGGATAAAGGGACAACCTAACTGAACAATCAAATTATTAAGTGATGTTGATTTTGTGTAGAATCCAACAAAATTTAACCCAATAGTCCTGGGTTTACTGGTGGTGTCTTCTTGTTGGTTAGTAGATTTAAAACGTCACCAGCCCATCAGGCATGTTATGTTGTGTGACCATTTGTTTCCTGGTGCCTTGGTGTATAATATCATTATTAAAGCCTAGCAGTGGAGTGAAATGTTGCCATCTTTGAAGTTTTGAGTTTTATGGTAAACATGTGCTTTTTCCTGTTATTGTACATGTATGTAATGGTTGTTGCTTCCTCTTTTCTTCCAACTGGTAATTAATTCACAGAGATGTTTTGTATAAAAGAAAAACTATTACTTTTGCCCCACCAGTATGTTGCCAATGTGTATGCAGGCAAACATTTAATGCTGTTTTGACGATTTTGTGTTTGGCATATGATGTATCTCAAAAATGGACTGTACATCTAAATTGATTGATTTTAAAACAGTGATTTCTGTTGCGACTGTCTTCTAAAGAATTTGATGGCAATATTTTGTGTGCCGCTCAGTGTAGCATTTTAGCTTATGAGGAAACATAATGAAGGGATCAGTTTCTTTTAGAAAACGGAACAACTAAAGAAAGTGAATTACAATGTCAAAGGCTTTCTCGGCCTTGATCTTGTTGTAAAAGCCGGTTTTTGGACATAGTGAACATGCGCTCAGGATTGTTTTGTAGCACTCTAAACTGTCTTTGTATTTAATCCATGATTACAGATTGCCAGACGAATGGGTTCCTCTCAATGAGGTGCAAAAGCATAGGACACGAACGGTGCACATCTCTCAGCTCCCAAATGACGTGGCTGCCGATTTGGATCCCTCGTTCTACAGACGGTTTTCGCACAGAAAACATCACCGTAAATGACATGAGTGCTTGCTTCTACAGCGTTTAGAAACGTCCTAGTTATGACGCATGCGTGTAAAATTAGTAGCGAACTGTACCACTAACATACTCTTAATTCCGGCGTCCTAGTCCCTAGCTCCCTCTGACGCTCTTGCTTTCTCAGGAGAAACTTTTTTCCCTTTTCTGTTTTTTTTTTTTAAGAGAATATTCCATTTCACACCTTTGGTGTGAAATGGCAAACTGTGTCTTTATTCATATTACCAACTTGCATAGTAGTTTATGGAATCCTTAAAAACTTTTTTACTTTCCATACTCACTTTACAGTGTGGCGGCTACATACATTGGACCGCTAAATGGAGAGATTTAATGGTGAAAATTTCTTCTGGACTTAAATGATAGCCGGTAAAAAGGACTCAGTTAACTCCCAAATGACTACTCTTTTTCACGTTTCCGTTTTCTGTTTCAGAAGAAAAAAAAAACACGTTTTTTGTTGTAGAAAACGAAATTCTCTGTGGCACCTTGATGAAAATTGTACACTTGTGATTACAGGCAGAAAGAAAGTGAGTAACGAGATGTGGACGGGTGCCATTTTTCTCGTGTTATTGTCCTATATTGGTGTCTAGTGTCCTCACACGACTCTGCTGACAGAAAAAAAGCAAGATACATTGTACAGACACGCCTGTGGCTTAGACAGCTACAGTAGCTGGTTTTAATCCTATTTATTTGTTGCATTACCTTTTGCTTGAAAGAGAAAGGCTTTATAAATAAGTTATCCGCGACCTCAGGTTTTGCAATAAAACACTGACTTATGTACTTCAAATTGTGGCTTGATTGTTTGTTCAGGTAACTTTTTTCTCTCTCCACGTAGTAAGAATCTTTATTGACAGGTATAGGTTAGTAAAGGAAAGAACCTGGTCAGAAGTAACGACGCGACCACGATGGATTGTTTAATAAAATTATGACCAATTTTAATTTACAATGGTATATATGTTTACTAAGACAGCTCAACGAGCTTATGGTAGAATATCGGCGGAGGAATTGTCACAGTATTGCTTAGTTAACAAGAGATTCATTCATTACACGACCTTTTGAAAAAGAGGTGCAAAAAATTATCCGGTTCCACTGAACCTGCAATAAGGCATTCTGATGGACTGATCTTGAATATCAGCCATGTCAACTTACCCGTATAGCACGTGCGAGAGAAGAAGTCGGCAAAGGTTATTTGCTATTTTGTATAATCTCGACACTTTTGGTGTCGATAGGATTGACTATACATGTATTCCGTCGATCTCTGCAAGAGTATTTAATCTCTTTTAAAAAAGATCATAGTCTTTTGGTTTGTGGGTGTGTTCTGAAAGAAGGGTCGAGAGAAAATTAAACGCGGGGGCGAAAAGGTCTTCTTTCTAAATTCTACAGTTAGCCTTTTTTCTCCACGATTTGAGGGAGCAAAGAACAAAGCGGCAGAACTTACTACAAAAGACAGCTGCTTTAGCGTTCATCTCCAAAGATTGCACCAAGCCCCAGTCGTGGTATAGTTCTTACTCACCACTTCTCAAGTAATTTAGACTTTCATTTAAATAATTCGACGTAATTTTAATTGAATTCGTTCTCGTCTATTGTAGCAGAAACGTGGACTACAGTAAAATATGAATATTAAAATAAATATTAAACATTCGCAAAGTTGAAAGCTTCGTTTTCAATTCCGCGCCAGAAGTTCGACTTGGCTAGCCCGGAAACACAACTAACAAGAACTGCAAGGTGGCAGGCGCAAGGCGCAAACTGACATCGCTTCAATCTTTAAAGCTGGGCGGCGGAAAATTTAACCTCGCTAATAATGGTTCTTTAAGTAAAATTTAAACTAAAAAACTACTTTTCTCCTCTCAGGCCTTAACGTAACTTTCAAATTTACTGTTATTTCTATCGACGAACTGCTTTATTTTCCGTTAAAGTTTACTTCTAACTGACTGAGAATATTTACCTTACATAGATATATATATAAAAAGCTTGAGGCAGTTCCCTCGTTCTGGAAACTATGTTATATAAGCAGACTTTGTTTATAAAAAAGAGATTGCACGACGGAGATTGTCGACTTACTTTTTGGAGCACCGCCCTTGCGCAAGATACTTAATTTCAGAGTCACTAAGAGAGTAATTAAATATAATAAATTCATCAATAAGTCCAGATAAATAAGTCCCTTCGTAAAAGTGTCTTCCAATGCCGGCAAAATGACCCCAGTCTTGTGAAAGATCCCCGCTGGCGGACTTTCGTTTCACCAGTACTCCGTTTACGTAAACTTTGGCCAACATGGTGGAAGAGTCGTACGTCACGGCCAGGTGAGTCCAGTTGCGCGCGGGAATGACGGGAAGGGTGACGATGTTGAACACCTCTTTGTCGTTTTCTTGGTGGTGATACCAGATAACCTTCCCATCCTGCACAGCGAAGTCGTACTGGTCGTGTTTGTGATCAGAATGACTTCCGATCGTGTCAAATAATTCGTGTCGTCCCCTGAAGTAGAATATAAATTACAATATTTAGAGAGATCGATCGAATTGGAATTTAGAGTGTCGGTTTTCGTGGAGGGAGGAAAACTGGAGAACCCGGAGAAGAGCCTTCGGAGCAAGGCGAAAACCAGCAACAAACTCAACCCACATATGGAACCGGACCGGAATCGAAACCGGGCTGCATTAGTGGGAGGCGAGCGCTCTAACCACTGCGCCATCCCTGCTCCCCTCGCCACCCCGCTAAGATGCAAGGAAGCGTAGTAAAAATGACGAGTTTTAGTCTATTTTGGACATATTACTGAAATATCCGTCAATAACTTTATATGTTGCAGGTGGTTGAAATCACGGAATTTAGGTCAAGAGTGTTTACTGGTAGCTATAACTGAATGACGACACCCTGTACTAGAGATTACAAACATAGTCTGTGTTCTGCGACCTACGCAGGGCTGACTCTAGCCTCAAACAAGGTACAGGCGTGTATGTAACTAAGTTAAGGGGGCCAAAAAAAAAAAAAAAGAGATCAGAAACGTTTCAATAGGATCTAGGTTACAAGCCGTATATATTACTTGATGCACTGTTTTCCTACCGTTCCCTTTTCACCAAGAGTTGCAGTCTTTCCTGCTCCTCCCACGTTAGGCTACGGAACATTAACGACTTACAACGCTGTATCAAATCAAAAGACTGCGATGCCCAATTTCCTCTACGAGACGCGCATGCAAGGAATCATGGTAGTTGTATTCATCATCTTGGACTGGATATTTACTTCGATAAATACAACTGCCATGATTCCCTGCAGGCGTGTCTCATAGAGGGAAGTGAGGGTCCCACTGAGACCCGCCATGGCGAGTTGGCTTCCTTCGTTAAATGTGATGATGATGATGAGGAGGAGGAGGATGACGACGATGATGACATTATAGTTGGCTATTAAAACAGCGATCTTTGAATAATTTGAGAGTTAACACTTAAAACTGAACCAAAAACTCTACACCACGATTAAGGCAGCAAAAGAGGGGTCAATCAATGCTTCTGATATTTCACATAAAGTTGTCACATGCAAAATATACTCATACAGAGCTAGAGGGGCTATAGCGCCAATGATGCAAAAATTGAAGATCAGTGACATCAAACCTGTTTGTTTGGAGACTGATCCAGACTGATATCGTGATGGCCTTCTGGGGTTTTCCTCTGAAATTATCGCCTGGAAGTTTCAGTTGTCCCATGGTCATATTAACCGCCTTTCCACATGTCCCGTTAATGGATGTTGTCGTGCCATTAATCGCGAGGCCATTGTTGGCGAGACCCGACTGGTCATACACTGTTTTACCAGTGAACAGGTCAAAGCCATAGTGCAGTACTATTCTGTGATAATTGCACGTCTGAGCAAGGAGTGTTATTTCGTTTTGCTTCAAGTCGCGTTCAAATAAGTAGAACTCGTCAATGATGCCGTTTAGACTGTTGAGTTCGACCCATTTACCATCACTCCCTTTGTCGTACTCTTTACCAATGCTGATTTTACCGCCCCAGTCCTGGAGAAAACACGACAAGAGACTATGGATTCTGAATACTGCAAAACTACGCCTAGTTTAGAGTGAAGATAAAACAAAGGAAAAAACTAAAGAATGCCAGGAAAAACTGAAGCAGGAATGTATAGAAATACTAATCGACATTTGGATAATGAAAGATGCATTAAAAACAAGTAAAATTGAAGATTTCTTTTTATCAATCTACTTCCAGTTTATTAGTCTATTTTGTATAGCGATCTCTTCATTCAGCATTTGCGCCACATCTTAGCAAGGTTTTTGTCACTTTAAAGGAGATTCAAGATTGTGTAAGATAGATATTTACCTGTGAGAGAATTCCTGAGCCAGTGAACTCTTGTTTTTTCAACACTCCATTCACATAAATCTCAGATTTCCCGCCAGTTGCTGTGTAAGTACAGCTAACATGCGTCCATGTGCCCGCGGGCACCACTGGTGTGCTTGTCTCGACGCTGAACACAGTCTGAAGGGAACAAAAAATGGGCCGGAGTAATGAGTGCTGTAACTGGCAAGCTGCAATATATCTTGCTAAAAAAAAAAGGAGTTGACCTCACGTATTGTGTTTTTCTTTTGTGGTGTGCATGAGTAGAAAATATCGCGCCCATATCATTCGCATAATTTCGTAGTACACGCTTAGGATAATTAACAATTAGTCCACGATCACGCGTTGGATATTAAATGATAGATAGAGTGGAATATTAATAAAATAAAATAAAAATGAAAACGCTCCAAAAAATTTACCGTTCGCTTACCATATTTGTAAGAGCATGGTACAATGGCTTATACACCATGAAAGCTAAGCCAATGAAAACTCTTGAATTGCATTATCCTTTGAGCCAGTTTTTAATAACGATCAAATACATGCATGCAGGCATTGCAGACTTATTTTATTCCAAGCAAGCCATAAAATGTTACCTGTGATTTTTCGTTCTTATGAAACCATTTTACTCGTCCGTCTGTGATCGTAAGTGAATATTGCACGTGGCTGTTCCACGGGTTGTCCGGGTTACAAGTGCTGAAGATAGACTGCTGACCACGGTTGGTATCTAGTTTAAGCCACGCAGCCACTGTTACACTGAACAGTGGTTTTCTTTGTATCCGCTGACCACTGATTAGAATATTGCCTGATAAATTGAATAAAACTTTGTGTAAAAAAAAAATAAATTTCCTTGCAAGCTAGCCCGATGGAAGTTGTTTTTCCATAACAGTAGCATGGAGGTCCATGGAAATGTTCTTCTAAGTTCTTCTAAGTTAAGCAGGTTAATTTTCTTCCTGTCCCTCTTCACTTGTAAATGCATGTCAGTTGGCCAGCAACGATTTAGTTATCTCTCCTCTTTTATTGCTCTTCCTCATGGCATCACTCGTGACCTTTTTTACCAGCTCGTAACGTAACATTCAGCCAAGTCACGTTGAAATCGTATACAACACATCTGAAGATATCGGTAGACTATCAGAGCCATGTACCGACCACAACAGATTAACTTTTCCAAGTAACGGACTCTACCATGACTCACCTCCATGAAGCTTAAGTCCGTTCCCACAAGTCCCACTGGTCTTTGTCACGGTAGCGAGGCTGGTTAACTCACCATTGTTCGTACTGCCAGAGTCATCATACACGTTACTACCTGACACGCGATCAAATCCGTAGTAAAGCACTTGGCCGGTACTCGCTGAAATAGAAAAACCACAGAAATTAAAACCTCTTGAACCGAAATCACGAGACTCCAGCTTCTCGGCCTGTTCCTTTTCTAAGAAACTTTTACTTGGTGTTATGAAGAAAAGGGGAAAGGGGCCAGGGAAAGGCTGCTTTCAACCAAGGTGAATGCAAAGCTCAACACGTATGATTTTTAGCAGCCAAACAAGAAGGAATTTCTGCGGATTCAATTCTCATACCGTTTTCAATACTCAAGTAATTGATTGTAAAAAAGCAAGCAGACTGGAGATGCATCATTTGGGCCTAAATTGGCAAATAGATATATTAAATCTGACTGGCTTCTTGCACTCCTTTTGTCACTTTTTGACACCCCTTAGGCAAGTTACTTACGTGTTTTGGCTGAGCCAAAGTTACAGTTGTCATAAAGAGTTTTAACTTCAAATGGAGACAGTTCCCTGTTGTACATATATATTTCATCCAGTGTGTCAACGTCCGTCACAGCTCCTTCGTGTTTACCAAACGCCGCATAGCTGTCCCAGTCTTCCGACAGTCGGCCCGATCCAGGCCCCTGCTTGTTTAGGTTGCCGTTGATAAACACTTTTGCTTGCCGACTGACATCACTGTACGTCACAGCTACGTGCACCCATTGCTCTGTAATATAAAACAATAGAGAATGTAAACCAAACAGTCATGAAATGTCATTCGTTTAGTATACCACCTTATCAAGTCCAAGGTGTTTATATGATGGGTCTTCATGGCCATAGCCAGAAAAAAAAATTATGACTGAGGCAATATCCATGGTTAAATTCTCTTCCTATAGGTATTTAGCAGCTGCTTTCTTACTTTCACCTTTCAAAAAAGAAACTACAGAAANCCTGTCTTAAGTATCAATTCCGGTCGTCTTACGGCCGTTTTCCAGAAAAGGGTTGTTAAGTGTCTATTGTATATTGTCTAGTGATACAAAACGCGGTTTTCAAATGACGAACTCCTTTCATGAGCCCCTCTCCTTCTTAGGATAAAATGCGTTCAAAAAAGGTAAACAATGCAAAAACTATATACGTACTCTCAATAACTATAGGATCAGTCGTTACTGTAAACAGCTGCCTGTCATTTTCATCGTTATGACTCCAAGTGATGGCTCCGTTATTTATGATTAGCAGATATTGGTCGTGTTTATGCGCTGAGTGTCCGCCAATCGTGTCAAACAGGTAATGCTTTCCTTTCACTGACGTCACGTTGATCCACAGCGCAAGCGTAACACCGTCGATTGGTTTGTTTCGGAATGTTTTTCCGTCAAGTTTAATATCTGCTTGTCCCGCGCTTAACTGTACGCCATTTCCACAGCTTCCTTTGGCGGCTGAGAGGGAAGAAAGATCTTGTGAAAAGTTATTGCCAAGAGGTGAATTGGTCTGGAGGAGTGCAATGAAACTTTGCTGAAAATACCTATCTTAGGCGAAAACTATATTGCAGTTATCTTTCCTCTCTGTAGAATGTTTCACATACAGAACAAAAGGCTGTCTAAGATTCGTCGAGCTTGGATTTAATTTTGTCGATCACTCATCCACTCGAAGCTCTTATTGCACGGGCTGCTACAGGTCGATATTAAATTTGCCTCGAAAAATTCAACTAATCGAACAGTTCAAGTGGCATTAAAGTTCTTCCTCCAGCCGTTAATTGTGCGGGTCACTCGTGCGGTCGTACTTTATCCGGGAACTTGATCATTCTAGTCTCTTTGCCCTCTCTGTGTAAGCTACTATGACATATAGGAACCATACTTACGAGGGGGAGGGGCTGGAGTAGGCTGGCCTGGTTGCAGAGGCGGTCCACCGATCACAGCATGGTTCAGAAGTCCAGAATCATCCAGAAATTTGGTCCCACTTTTCTTGTCAAAACTCAAATGCAGGACCATGGTGCTCTTCGGCCCCTGACACTTTTGAATAAGTGCATTAAGTGCTGGTTCAGGGAGAGTCCTATTGTATATGTATAGCTCGTCCACATAGCCTTCCAAGCGACCTTGTCCGTCATATTTACCTATACCTGCATTCGAAGTCAGAAGAAAAATTTTACAGGTAAGTGTTTTAAAAAATCAACGTGCAAAAAAAGTCGAATAACTGTAGTCTTACATGAAGCAAAATATCTCTACTTTCACCTACCGGCATATTTAGACCAGTCTCGGGACAGAAATACACCAGGGTCAGCGGTCTCTTGTTTTTTCAGTTTGCCGTCGACGTATATCCTAGCACTACCTCGCAGACCGTCATACATCACGGCCAGGTGATACCATTTGCCACTGGACAGAACAGGACCGTCTGTCACGATACTGAACACGGTAGAGCCGTTTTCATTGCGGTGAAACCAGCGTACCCTAGCGTTTTCCACTTGCAATAGATATTGGGCTAAAATTACAGGAAATTAGTTTAGATTTTTTATTTGAGCAATATTGTTAAGTCGGCATTTTCTCTAAGAGCACAAAATGCTCATCGAGAGAGCTTTTGTCGATTACACAAGGTAAAATCATGGTCGCGGAGGAAAGGCCCAACCACAACAATAAGCACAAAAAGAAAAATTAGTTCAGCATTGTTTGCAACTTGACATTGAAACGATATTAAGGATACGATAGTTACTCACGTTCCTGGTGATTAGACTTTGGCGGTCCTCCGATAGTCTCGAAAAGGATTATTGTCCCGGATGTCTCCTTTAGCTGTACCATAAGAGCAATCATAACTTCGATGTAAGGGACGCCTACATTTGAGAACAAAATGGCATGAAAAAAGATTGTAACTGTTCTAATGGACCATTCATAAAGCCATACGGCAAGCCAGCCAGCCAGCGACTAGTCAATCAGTCTCTCAGTCAGTCATTTAATCAGTCAGTCAGTCATTTAATCAGTCAGCCAGTCAGTCAGCCAGCCAGCCAGCCAGTCAGTCAGTCAGTCAGTCAGTCGGTCAGGAAGTCAGTTAGTCAGTCAGTCAGTCTGTCTGTCTGTCAGTCAGTCAGTCAGTCAGTCAGTCAGTCAGCAAACAATCAACTCATACGCAAACTATATTTTTTCATCACAATGTCTTTAAGAACGATTACCATTAAAATTATTATCGATAGTACTTACCAATGAACTTAGCTCCATCTATAGGAATAGTTCCCCCACAACACACCCTGGCGCACATGCCACAGCTGCCGGGTATTTTATCTAAGAAAGCAGACTTGAGGGTTGCATTGTTGTTGTGCAATGAATCATCATAAACACGATCTCCATTGTATCGATCAAAACCGAGATAGAATACTTGATTAAAATCCTCTAAAATAAAACACAAATATGTATACAGTAAGTTTGAAGAAATAATTATCGAACAAAGCAAAACTTTTTGACCTTTACATGGATCTTTACAGTGGGTGAAAACCTTAAAATGGTAAAAATTACGATACAAACAAGGGCAGTGTTATGTCCTTCACTGATCTTAAAATTGACCAATGAGAAGCAGGAAGATAACTCACGTGTCAGTCCAGCCCATGTGACGTTGACACCCACTAATAATAAAACACACACACATCTCAGGTGCATGGCTGGACAGTGCCTCCTTCAACGTCTCTCGTCTTGATAAAAATGAAAAAATAAATAGAACTGAAACAGCAGTTTTATAAGAGCAGTTTTATAAAAACAGTGTGCCAAGTAATGCTCAGTGCAAAGAAACAGTGCGATTTAACAAATTGACGTCAGTTTTTCGTACGTCTGTCCTGTTATTGATCATGAATTTCGTCATAACATTGTCAAAACAGCTGTGCATCACCTGGCGATAGCCGAGTGGATCCGCAGACTACTTTGACATTAAAAACTGACGTTGATTTTTATTTTTAAGATAAAAATTGTCAAATTGTCCGCTCTCGCTCGTTGACGTATCGCATAAATTATCATTATCGTGAAAAGTTTATTAAAAAGAAGTACTATTTTTAAGACACTTTATGAGGACATTGGATGCAGGCATGCGCAGCAAGACTGACAACACAGCAAGCGCAAATAGGTACGCTATCCTGCAGTCACAAAGCTGGTAAATGGAGATTATGGCTAAAGCACTGGAAAATTACAAGACCTACAAAAACAAACGAACAGACCGTGCACGAATAGCTCAATATTTATTTGCTGCGCGCTTGGATTGAAGCACTCTAAATAGTACAATGCAATTGGAAACAAGAAACAATTTCCAGTGAAAAATTCTCCCTCGAGGCTAGTGCTGCGGCAATATAGTAAAGTAGCTAGGTTTATTGCCTAATATTTAGACTAATTTTCAGCTTGCTGCTGAAGACAAATTGCGCTGGTCAAAACTTTGGCCATTAAATCTGTTCTTTTTCAGTTTATATAAAGTTATATTTTTTCCTTTAATTCCTCCTTCCCGTGGCCTTCAGTACGCTTGCCCTACTAAGAGTGATCTCTCATAGAAACACATCCTTAGTTTTACCCTGTGTATTGTTGTAGGCCGACACTCGCACTCCTGCACTCGGCTCGAGCTTTACACAGAACTAATTACACAATAGTTAAGTTAACTTGAAAAATATCGACATTCATTAGATTTTAACGACTTCTTTTATTATGATGACACTGAGCGTTACTTTTCTGTCTCTCTAATTTAATTAAGGCGCCCTCTTGATTTTAAGAAGTAGTGCAAATCTTTAAAGAGTTGCGGGCGCTTTGTACGATTAAAGTTTCTTTTTTTATGATGCACGCTAAAAGAGTTTGATCTTCCGTCTATGTCGAAGACGTATCAACTGGTTTAATTATGATTTTCAACATACGAAAATCAAATCATGGATTGAAGCAAAGAAGAGATAAAGTTCACGATTGTTGACCACGGTACTTCGCGATCGTCGCTACCAGTTTAAAATGGAGATATTTCAAGAGTTAAAGCTTCAACAGAACCATCATAGTAAAGAAGAAGATTGGTGTCTATTTTCAGATACAGTCTAGGAAGGTTTATTCGGAAATCATGAGTGAACATACAAACCACAGGTTGAATGAGAATCAAACAATATAACCACAGGAAAGCGCTTTTAGCCATGTCGGGTACCTTAAAGACATCGAATTGAAGAGGAATCGAAGAAAACTAACAGCCATTATTTGCTTTAAAAAATCTACTAAAAATGCGGAAATAATACCCTTGGAAATTTGAATCAAAATCATGACAGTCCACCGGGGGTGACAAATTGGAATATTTACTGGTTTGACCCTCGCAGCGAGCGCTTTTGCGCCTGTAAGAATATTGAAATTAATTGTTCGGTAGAAGAAACATGAATTTTGAAATTTAGCTCACCTTCTAAGAATCCTTCATAGCATTCATGATTGTATAAGTCAGTCATGTTGGCTCCAAAATCGCCATCTTTGATCTTCAACAGAGACTCGCCAAAGCATGACGTCATAGTGTTGGAGCGCGCGTACCGCTTCAGAGAAAGACGGGTGCTGTTGATAGTTGAGCAACAAAACAACACATGCAAGACAGGTTCAGTTTAGAGAATACATGCGCCGAGGAGCGTATATGGCTTACAGGCAATGACATAAGTGAGGATTCAGAGCGCGAGGGTTCCCATGTGAAAGATTTTTTTTAATCGAATAAAAATTCACGTACAGGTGAGTTCATCTGGCGCAAAGTGTTTGACTCACGACAAGATATGTTGATTTAAAATGTCAACAGTTTTTGAAAACAGTTTTTTAGACATACTACTGAGATGTCCGGTAAAAATTATACTCTTGCAAACCCGAAGGGTGAAAATTTTACTCTGTAACAACTAAAAAACAAACGCTTTGGCAGGGCAAATCATGTTTTTAGGTAAAAACAACACTCTTTCTCTTCTTCGGCCAAAGGTGATTCGACCATGTTGTGCAATTACCTATTACACAATGGTTAACCTGTAACCTAGCAACTCGGCAGTCAGCCAGAAAATCGGAAGCTAATCGAAAGCTCTCCAAAATCTATTTGAAAAAAAGTAAAATTCTTTTGTATGCTTTTCTTGTTAAGTATCAAGCTAACAAAAGAGAAAATTTAGTCATTTTGCCCTTTTGCCAAGCCACGAAGACTTTCAGTTTATAATTAACACCCGTTTTAACCAATTTGTTTTCAAGACTGGCGCTTTGCCTGTTTAGGTGTTTCCTGCACTGCAAACAATTGGCAATAACTCAATGTTAATAACGCTAGATAAGGAGTTTTCCTGGAAGCAACAATAATTTCAATAAAGCACACTGATGAATATGAATTTGAAGTAATTAGCATTAGATGCAGTGTAATAACTCAGGTTACGCGACTTTCCTACATTATGAGAGGTAAGTTTTTTTCTTATAATTTAGCAGAAATTCAATCTACGTCGTTATACTCGGTATACACTTATTTCAAGACGAAGGATTTTTTTTCTGCCGTGAATTGTCTGTCTACTGTTACAATCTGTATTAATCTCTGGTATTGTTTAGAGATTTTCCAAAGTACATTAAGATCGCAACGCAGCAGCTTTCTGTAAATTTGAAAATTTAATTTTTCTTGGTTGTAAAACTACCTGCTTCGTAAATTTTCGCCTGACCGAAGTAGTCGCTGAAACTAGTGTCCATCTGAAGGAGGTCTGATACGCAATATGCAAGCATGGCCATTTGATTAAGGAATATCATAATGGTGTACGGGCAGGTGACGCGAATGTACTCCGTATGAAGTTAGAGGGTCGAGTTACGAGGGAAGTCTTTTGTTTAAGATCATTTATTACAAGCGGCTTGCTATTTTACAGATTTCCTTGTACATCGACAAACGAGATTTGTTCTTGAACGCAAAAAGGGATCGTTTTCAGTGGTGGATCCAGACTTTGAGCTAAGG